TTGTATGCAGAATGATTGACAAGAGAAGTAATCATTGATACAGAAGGCTCAAGGTGAGCAGAAATATAATCTGTAACAATGGGCCTGCTCAATATAGAGCTTATGGATGAATCTGAAAAAGAGATTGTTTGTTTGTTTGTTTAGAATTAAGCACAAAAGCTACACAATGGACTATCTGTGCTCTGCCCACCACGGGTATCGAAACCAGGTTTCTAGCGTTGTAAGTCCGCAGACATACCGCTGTACCACTGGGGGGCGAAAAAGAGATACAACAGTTACTTGACAGGCTTGTTTATAATTGGAAATACAATGGATTCATAATCAATATCAACGAAACTAAAACAGTGGCAGGTAATATAATGTAAAATAAAGCTTGGATCCACTGTTACCGAACAACAAGTTTATATAAATCCAAGATTCGACCCTTTCACGTGTCCTTTTCAGTCCAGCTTTTCTACTTTAACTTTCCAACAAAAGTTGGAGTGAAAAGGACACGTGAAAGTATCGAAACTTGTATCAATATATACTTATTGTTCTGTAATAATGGATCTTAACTTTATTTAAGAAAACCATAATTTCACGCCCTAAGGAAGCTCCACAAATTGTATCGAAGTAGAAGATAGAGAGTTTGAACAAGTAGAGAAATTTACTTATATAGGCAAGTATGGAAAAGAAATCTCACGAATAATAGAAATGACAGAAACAGTATTCTTCAATCTCAACATACTGCTCAAGTGAGATGTCAAACTAGAAATGACGAAGGAACTACTAAATTGTGGGTTAAGGTCAGTCCTAGTGGAAGCATTAGAAATGTGATGTTTTAAGCAAATGAGGAAGAACAGATACAAAGAAAGAAAAACTAATGAGTACGTACGTACTGGAAAGCGCAAATACCCAAAAAATGGCAATTACTGGATATGTGTAGGAAATGGAAGAGAGAGCGTTGGCAGATGGATGGTTTGTAAAATCTGAGAAAGAAAAGCGAGAAGCAGGAAGAGATGATCAATTTAGATCTATGACATTACAAAATGTATTGGAGATGAAAAAGTTGGATTATAAAAGTTGGTGAATAAATATAGAACAATGGAGATGAATAGTCGTGGATCCTCAGGATTGGAAAGGATATCATGATTGATTAATGATTGTCTATGATAAAAACGCTATAATCTACATTGATATATTACCCCTTTATTAAAACCCCTCATTACGACCGCAAATAAGCATGAAAAGAAGAAAGAAGCTTGTTAAATTTGGGAGATAGGAAAATAATAAATTCTCATTCCTGTTGATTTATGTCGTCTGAATTTCAGTTACTTCTCTGTAAACGTGCAGTCGAGGCAGTCAAACATCAGTAAATTCTCTTGTGAGCCAATCAAAATTAAGATCATTCATGAAATGAATTCGTGGCGCATTCATAGAATAATTATTGGTAAAAATCAGTTAGATTAACAACTTCTAATATATATAAATGTGAGTGCGTTTTGTTCCAACAATGGCTTTTATGTCATGACACTTAGCCTCAGTGAAAACATTCTTTATGTTATTTTGTGTCTTATCATATAACAAGTAAAAAATGGTCCTCATATGACTATGCGCTTGTAGAGGAGAATATTCTGTTAAATTAGAACAGAGCTAAAGTAGAATTAGATCTATTCTCTTTAGGCTTGATCACAATATTCTAGTAGATTAATATACTTAAAAAATAGTCAAGAAATATGCTATATACGCATACAAATTTATAGAATATTAGATCGTGAGAATGGGTATAGATTCATACAGACTAGATTTTACCAGACCTTACAGTTAATTTTACCCATCGCTATAAGCCAGCAACCCTGTCTGAGAATTTATATCGCGGCTGAAATATTCTTTCTTTTATCGACCTGATGTACTTGCCTAAATATAACATTGAACGTTTTTCTTTGACGTCATAACTTCTTCATGTGCACACCATCTGCGAAGGATGGAGATCTAGTTAGATGCTAAATCATTCGTTAGACGGATACTTTATTGGCTCATTTCCAACTGATTCGTTAATGTCGCTAAATCGTTATGTCTTACCCTTATGTTATAAAATGTAGGTATATTTAACACTTTATTTAATGTTCTATGTCTCTGGTTCTGTTTATGTAGCTGTATTCATACCTGTCTTCTTAAATATTAGTTGATTTCTATTTATCCATATAACTCATAAATGTTATGTGTATTTATCTGTGTATTTAACTTGCCTGCGTTTACTAATCCAATTATCTGCCTTTTCATGTACTATATATCTGTGTGTCTGTTTGTTCGTACTAGTTCCCCGGTGGGACAGCGGTAAGTTTACGGACTTACAACGCTAATATCCGTGATTCGATTCCTCGCGGTGGACAAAACAGATAGCCCCGTATAGCTTTGCTCTAAAACAAACAAACTTGTTCGTACTAATCAATGCACTGTTTCTTCCTTTCATTTATCCATCTGTCTGTCCAAGCTTCAGTTTAGTCTAAAGTTTTAAGTCGCTGTATTGAACTGTTTGATGTGTTATAAAAATCTATACATACTTTTCTTAACTTTCTGGAAGAAAAAGCACACCTCACACATACTGTCTCGTGCTCACGTCACGGAGAGAGACTATGAGCCATAGGAATGGCATAATCGGAACACAATTGACCATAAACAAGCACAAACTAGTTCTAACTGGTAAAGAGTGCCTATTTGTCTGAGTGTTTAATTAATATAGAAATCAGTTACAGGCGGGAGAGCAGCGAGTAGCTACCAAGAATATTAAAAAATAAATATAATAGAGGTGCCAGTCATGTAACGTAAGTTGCTTAAGGTAACTGTTTCATGTACAACGTAATCTTTGATTAAGATTTATTTGAAACTAAGCCAAGGATGATAACTAGATTGAATGTATTATTTGAGCAAGGGATGATGACTTGGATTCCCTGCGGCGGACAGAGCGCAGATATCCCAATGCTTGGCTTTGCGTTAAAACAAACAATAGTGAATTCTCGATAAAAATTATGTATATGTAAGTTAAACGTAAACCATTACAACTGGCACGTCTCCTATACAATTTCAAATATTCTAAAGATGTAAAATTAAGTTGTATATATCAAATTTTAACATTAGGGCAGAGTGATAATAAGGGCATTAGTTACATATCAAGGTTTTGTTTAACTCGCCGGTTTCGTAAGATTATTTAGCTTATTATTAAGTACAATAGTATTTAATAGAAGGCATTGACAAGAATTCCACATACTTCAAGCGCCGAAAAACCACCCTATTGTATTCTTAAGCAAAAAACCGTACATTCAAGGTATCGGTTACGATATATTATGCGTATATATACTAATAATATGCTAAAAAGTTCGATAACATTTCCGATATAACAAGTAAAAAATTTCTAAAACAGCAATTTTTTCGTCTACTACCTACCTACCTACCTGATTACGTCAGTGGAGCTAGCCCCTAGACGGCTCGAACTACCGCTACAAGATTTCTCCAGCTTAATTGACTTGTATGTGGGTATCCGCTTTTGATATTCCGAGAAATATATACAGATTTTTTTTATAAACGGTAAACATATCATGCAGCTACTTAAATATCTTTTTAACCCAATTCAACCCAACAGATGGCGCTATATATCGATGGATAGTTTTTTGTTTGAAGTTAAGCACAAAGCTACACAATGGGCTATCTGTTCTCTGCCCACCACGGGTTTCTAGCGTTATAAGTCCACAGACATACCGCTGTGCCACTGGGGGGCTCGATGGATAGACATACAACAGTTTCTAAAGGTAAAGTATATATACTTGATACAGGTATATCATAAAAAGTAAACAATCAAGAGTATTGAAAAACTATGAATTTTAAAGTGAAGTAGGGACCCTGCTACAAAAAGTAATGAAACAAGCATTAAAATCACTATCATAAAATTATCAAATTTAATTCCTATTTTGGCAGCTTAATACACTTACTTGGTGGCCAAAGTAAAGAATAAATTTTATAAATTTGTGATTGTGGTTTTAATTATTTTAACAGTAATAGCTATCAGGGATATGGCTATACTGAAAGTTTATAGATGTTGTGTCCAATCCATGTAGATATGAAACTGAAAAAATAAGTAGGAACAAATTAAAAGTTTAATGGAAAATAGGGATTGTTGTTATTAGTAGAATTGCTATAAAAAGTATCCAAAACAAAATAATTGCTGCAATAAAAAGTACACAAACAAGTAAAGTGATATTAGTTGGATAGATTTTTAAAACGATTTTGAATCCCTACTGGAAAATCGTTTTTTAAAATCTATCCAACAAGTATCACTTTACTTGTTTGTGTACTTTTTAATGCAGCATTTATTTTATTTTAGATACTTATTATAACAATTCTAAGAGTCACCAACGATCCCTACGTTAAGTTAAAATTCTAATTTTTTCTCCTATATATTTATATTACTTCTGACCTAGGCTAGAGAACATCAAAACAAAAACAAAAAACTGAAAATATTGCTTTAGTGTATCGAAAATTATTTTGCTTGTTTGTAGTTATAGTGAAACTTTAATACAATGCACATACTAAAGCAGCAGTCTGACAATAGATGCCACTGTAAGAAAAGGTGAAAATTTATAAAAAAAAACTCGTCAATGTTTCTCTGTCGGAGCAAATATATTGTGTTATTGTGGAGCTATATATCGGTGTGAAAATGTATTATTCAACATGAATTCAGAACATGTTTTTAACATATGATTTGTTGTTTTATATGTCGTGTTTAATTTCTATTGGCACTAACTATAAAAGTAAATTGTAGATGGTTCTTGTTTCATCATTATTAGCAAACGTTTCGATATTAGACATAAAAACATTTATTTTTCTGGAATACTTAATTTTAATTCTGCATGTATTTACTACAAAACTTAATTCTACTGGAACTAAGCTTTTAGCACAATATATCTGTAGAATACCTGAAGCTTAGTTTATATATTACATACGATAATTAATGTCCATGCTTATAGGTTTCCACATTCGCCACTCCAGATCTGACCCTTTACTTCTGTCTGAATCAAAATGTGCTCTCTGCGAATATAGCGACATCTACAACGTGAGTTTTCAAAAAACAGTATTATTGCCAGAATGGAACCAGCAAGTAGGAATCTGTGACCCAAACCACTATCACAGTGTGGAAGATCAATTAAAATTCCAGTCTCACCACGATAACAACATGTTAACACTAGAAAGCTTGCGCAATCACTACAGCTCTTGTTTCTCGTAAGTATTCGATCGAAGGTCAGACATTATTGAATAAAAGCAACCTACTTAAAAACAATACATAGAAAAGTATAATGTCGAAAGACAAAAATGAAAAATATTACATTTGAACCTGTGTATATTTGGCTTCAAGAAAATTTACCTGAAATCTTACCGTTATCAAGTTATAACTACAGATGGCGTTTGTAGTATAAACAATATAAGTAATGTGTGTGTTGGAAAATATAGTTTTAGAGGGAAAAAAGTAGCAGTCATTTACTTAAAATATTATTTTTTTTTACTGTGTAATATTTATTTTCGCATTTTTGACGTTATTTTTAAAACAACAGTTTGTAACTATAAAGTATATTCCAAACTAATATCTCTCAGATGCCATAGAAATATACGTTTGTGTAGCAGTGAAATTTGGTATAAAATGCTAAGCAGATTTTTTAAAAATAAGAAAAAACCACCAGAAATGTTTCTATATTTGACTTTCGACCCAAATGTTTTACATTGAAAATCCTTAGTAGAGAGTAGAAGAGTGATATAAATATTCATTGCGCATGAGCACGTTACGATGGATCTATAAGCTATAATTTTGGGTAACTCATGTTGTGTATTTTAAACGATAATGTAAGAAGTTCAGCTAACCAAGGAGTGATCTTTTCTCGCTCACATGGAACGTAACCTATATATCCCAAATATTTTCAAATGAAAGATTTATTTCACAATATGAATTTCAATGAAATGATAGTGTTTATTTTGAAAACAGCATGAAAAGGTTTAACATTTTGAAACTATGTAGAGATAGCAATCATTTTATTGGTCTAACAAGCGAAATGAAGCACGACTGCAGTGTCAACATAAAAAATGCATATAAACTCAAACTATACATAAGATGTATACATACTAAAGTTATAGACGCAGACTGCTCTTACGGGAGAGCTGTGAATTTCAGGACTGGCGAGCTTTGTTCGAATATGTATGATACTACAAAATATTCCCAACACTTTAAGCTGTTGGTATGTTATAAGAGTGACTATTAATCCATTAGCGTGGATGATAGGTGGTGCGATTCTGCTGACTGGTTGCTTCTCTGGTCAGTAGTTCAAAATTAGAGCCTTAGGATCCTTACCGTAAATACGAAATTTAAATGAAAATTTGTCTGCAAGTACAAAAAGAAAAGAAAGACAAAGAACAACAATAAATATCTGTTATGATACTAAAAAAGAAAACTTTATTAAAGAAAATCAAAATGCTCAGACGTATTTGATAATAACTCGACTAACGTTGCGAATATTATAAGACAATGTGACCAAATAATTTATGTTTTGTGTATAATTAAATGACTGTAGAAAATTATGAGAAAATATAAGGCCAGTTTAGTTGAACTAAAAAAGAACTGAAAATTTACTGAAACGTTTTCTATCTTTTTTTTTTAGTATGTAACTTTACAGTTTGCTAGAGTTTGAATAAAATTGATATAAATAGTGGTAATTTTGTAACAGGATGAATCACTCCACGTATTTGACAATATTTGTTTTTAAAATAAATATTAAAATTTTAATCTTAAAAATAGAACAACGAAAATGTTAATTGTGTGAACTATCTCACATAGTCTGTTGTTATTTCTACAGATGCGGGGTTAGTTGGACGGACAACCACGTTTCCCTGGACTGTTTGGAATGTGGTGGGTACGCTCTGCAACGGCCCTGTCCCAAATGTGAAGGAGAATGTAAGAGCATTTGGAGCAGAGACATGGCAGCTGTAAGTTCAAGAAAGGAAGTTTAATAATTCTGCCATCTTGTTTATTTATAACAGAAGGGGGAACAGATAAAAGTTTCGAAATTCTACAGATTCCATCTTCAGTATCTAAAGCAAAATAAAATAATTGCATCATTCTGAAATAAATAACTTAAATACATTGCTGCAATAACGATAATTTAATGAAAACTAAAATACTAATTCATCGTTACTACTCCAAGTTCATTTCAGATTAGTTTTTGAACTCACATCACGCATACAGGATTTTTTTTCCGTACTAAAGACTTTCTCCCAATTTCTCTTTGTTCATGGCTTGTATATTTTTACATGTGTGGAGACTATAAGGCTTCCTATATTAGCAAAAACAAAAGCCATCTACTAGTTAGAGCCAATAAACATATGGGGATTTCCATGAAAACACAAAAAAGTTGAGTAACTCCTGTGTTTCCTCTTTACGCCAACATATCCCTTTTAAGGCCAACATTTATCTGAAATTATTATCCATAGAAACTCTCCACATCGAACAACTTTAAACAACACTGAATAACACGCAGTCTTCTTTTAAATTGCACACTTGTATATATGTACAGTATTTTTGTTTGTTTGTTACTCCTTCACTTTCTGTGTTTTAGTTTTGATTAAATTATCGTTATTGCAGCAATGTATTTTAATTTATTTATTTAAGAATGATGCAATTATTCTATTTTACTTTAGATACTGAAGATAGAATCTGTAGAATTTCGAAACTTTTATCTGTGTTTCCTTCTGTTATAAATAAACAATTTTGTTTATCTTTAAGTATCAATATCCTTTTTATTGTGAACACGTCTATTGTGATGCTGCCACCTACTGATACCTTTTATAACTAATTGATAGCCACATAAAACATTAATGAATTGGAGGCTATTTTCAATGTATGTATTTTACATTATAAAACATCAGCTTTACAAATACACGTCTCTTTGTTTTTATATCTAATATAAAATTACTAAAAACGTTTTTTCATAATTTCTGATTATTACTAACGCACAATACAGTATATAGGCAGAACTCAAGATTATCATACATATAATATATAAATTATAAAACTTGATCCATAAAATAAAAACGCAAAGATACATAAGTAATACTAGAAGTTTTAAGACTCTAAGTTTCTGCTGTACTCTCTAAATTGCAATAAGAATTTTAGGAAGGTTTGCATGTGCGGAGTTGATTCAATACTATTACAGTGGTGAACATAGTTAATTGTTTTCTTATTTTTCGAAAAAAAAAAAAATTATTTGAATTTTTTTGGACCACAACCGAAAGTGTTTGTTCCGTAAATATGACCATAGTAATCTTTTTGTGCTCATTAAAGTTTGAAATAATTCATTTAGAATACATGAAACGATAATGTTGGTTTATGCAAATGATAATACATTTTAGAAGCAGTCTGACGAAGACCATCGAGAAGTTTGTGTGGGTTCTTACATGACGTCAGTATTGGGTGTAGACATCCTATTTTGTATTGAATTTTAGTAACTTAACTATGTATGTAAATTATAGTGTAAACATAAACGGATTCGTTCAACCATTAAGTTTAAAACTAGCAGAATCGTAAATATATCCCAGTAATTTTGTTTTTTACTGAACAAATATGATTCTATTATGCTACTACTTTTAGATCACAATACCAGAAACACTGATTTTTATCATTATAACAAAGTTTTAAATTATTTTATAATAGAAGCTAACTTGATAATAATATTCCTTAGTTACTGACTGCATGACTGGTTATATGTATAGTGTTTTAGCTTTCTTTTACTGACCATAAAAACCTATATTTATATATTGTTCAGGGTTGTTGATGAGGGGTGGTATTCCCAGAAACCGGTATAAATCAGTGAAAAGTGATGAATCATATGATAGATTTGGCTTCATATTTGTTTTTAGTATTTTTGCTATAAACTTGTCTTTGATGAAAAAAATAAGCTAAACAACATTACGAGTATACAGAAGTGAACACGTCTCATTTTTATTCTTGTCTTGAATGGAAAAGCAATTAGATTAAAAATGTAGTAGGAATATCCCTAATCTTATCGATCATTCTACTTATTTCGTCTCTTTTGTTGTCTTTTTAGTCTCACGAGAGTAAACACGCCAAGTGGGAAGGCCAGTGTCATAGCTCTGATAAGTCACAGAGTGATAACTGTGAGTTCTTTCCAAAAGCTTTAGGGAATCTAAAAAAAAAATTATGACAAGTTGTAATTAGTCCAGAAGAAACAACAAATTTATAATTTTGATAGTTGTAAATAAAAAGCTTGTAACGATGCAAGTATGTGTGTATGCTGCACAGCATGTTAGTATTTTAAATGTTTGTTTGATATTTTCACGTTAACAAAGGAAGAATTATTACTGTTAGTGTTGGATTAATCTTCGTTATTGAAGAGTGTCAAACTGTTATTAAAACTCGAAAGTAGTTGTGTTTTGATCTTGTTGTGTTCTGCAATATTTACCCTTGTGTTACTGATAGTGAAGGTTATTAGGCCTGTGGAAAAGCCGGTAAGGCTCAAAAAGGCGTCTGAGCTGAAGAGAAGAAAAAGAGGAAGAAGAAGATGGAGAGCTATACTATATACGTCTAAAAGGTTGTTTATAGTTATTCATAGAAACTTACGTGATAAATAAATTAAAACCGATTATTTGTCAACGCTTTTACAGTAAAAAGTATAGTAAATATAGTCATTAGGATGACCAAGACAATTACTATTAATTACCTTCTACGGCTACAGTCAAATACCTTTATTTCATATGATCAACACTGAAGTATACTTGATTGTTTTATCTACTTAAACCCAAAGTGATTGATGAATATACGTAGCTGGAGACAAATCACTTAGTACTGTTGTCTTGTCTGAGCGTAACCAGTGACAGGCAGGCAGGACTATTTATTTGGCTATACCCAAATTATACTTAGGTATTATCTGGCATCAGTTAATCCCATTCATGTTTGTTTGTTTATTCTTTGGTCGAATTAAAATTCATTTGATGTAATTATTTAACTGCGGTCAAAATTAGATTACACAAACAAAACACTCGTAGGATTATATTAGTATAAACAAGTTCATTGATTGTATTATTTAGCACTTGCAAGTGTTATTATGTTACAAAGTACTGACTTATTAGTTATATTAAAAATCACTAATGAAGAATTGTATTATTTTTTTATTATACCTGTAAGTTAAACTTCTGAAATTATTTCCTGTGAGTTTATTGGAATATATTTTTTCCAAAAATCTCTAGATTCCCAATACCAGTTGAATATTTTAAAAATAAATAAAACATAATAAATGGATTATATTTAAGACAGAACAATTTACTGACAATATTTTAGTGTTTTAAAGTATTTAAACATGTTCGTGGTGCAGCTAGTGCTTCTAAAATATGTTTGAAACATACTCTTTGAATAACACATTTATCCTATACTGTATGCGTGTTTTCACCTTGCATTTACAAGAGTGGAGCAGATGATGTAAAGGTTAATTCTGGCAGCCAAAATATACATGACCATACGTTATTAATGACCTGTAAATATTTTGGTAGTTTCTATCAATTTTGAACAAAGATTGTAAAAGTTCTAAATCTTTTATAAATGCCACCATATTCTTTTTATGGTTCAATAATATCTTCCTGCCAAAGCTAGTCCAAAATAGCTAGAGCTTTCAATAAGAAAGTGTTAACAATATTATAAAGTAACATGCTTTACAAATTGGACTTAGAAGTAGTAATATGGATAACAAAGATAACTGTCATTTTGTTGTTAGTTCAATAACTTGATCAGTCTACCTCTCATGTAGTCACTTAGCATCTGTTGAAAAACTTGAAATGATCATATATATATATATATTACTAACAGTTTTGAAACATTGACAAATAAGGCATACGCCTAACTTTTTTAAATGATAAACGTCTGCTTATGAAGTCCTTGTTTAATATCAAGTGAAGTTTCAAGTATATAGGATTTTTCTATGTTTTTAAAAATGAGCAATAATTCTAACTACCAGATCATTTATTAGATTTTTCATTTTTATTATTAATAAAATTCATATTTCCAGCTCCAACCTCCTTTAGTAAGTGAACTTAAAAGCACTTATTCTAGGATGATTTCTTCAATAAGTATTGTTAGTTTTGCTGTTGCTTTCATCGAAATAACTATTACACAAAAATATGTTATATATGACAAAAAAAAGGTTTTAATTTAAGAAACCGCGGATTTCATCTAATAGTTAATAAATGCATTCAAATATACCTAATCCAAACAAAAAATGTCCCAATGTAAATGATATTTTTAAGATTGAAGTTTTAAAAATATATGTCGCTCTTGCTTTTAACTGTTTCAGCACCCTGGCATACATCATCACACTAAGCACCATCATCCAAATGTGACTAAACTGAAATTAGTCATAAGATAAAATGTTTAGTAAATAATTATTAACCATTACATTTGAATAATACAGTGTACATCACAAGAGATATTGACAAAAATATTCACATAAATTATACAGCTGTAAGTAATTATCAAATAATTATAAACACATTTGTTAAGAAAGAAATAACTTTGTTGCCTAATATAATAAATATGACACTATTTTCATAGGTATTTGCTTGTTAGCCTTTTGGTGCATTATTATTACTATAAATATGTTTTACAAAACATATGTCAATGAATTGACCATGATGTTGTAAAGCTTGTATAATTGTGATATTCTTTTGTTTCTTATTTGCATGTTTTTTATTCCTGGTTGCACATTCAGCCAGTTCTTACTAAATTTGTTTCAATACATCCATTATTGTTTTAACCAGAAAATAATAAAAGGGAAGTAACTATGAGTGTGCTGTAATACAGCTTTTTGACTTTGTTTTTCAAAAACAGATTAAAACTGTGAAAACACTGCCTTACCTGTTTTCTAAGCCTATTTTCACATTATTGACGCGCAGAATTAGGTTGCTGTATTAAAAAAAAAACAGCACAAAATAACTGTGAAGTGTGCATTCTTCTGAGTAAATCCAAAATCACGAACAAATAACAAAATGTTCATATTCAGTATAATGAGATATCTGAGCTTCATGTATACTTCCTTATGAAGAAAACTAGCTTATTTTATTACACAACCTTTAATCGGATGAAACTTCATCATTATTTCTTCCTTTTACCCTTTCCTTTCCATATTCTCCTATATGAAGACGCCCCAGTGAAATAGGAAGTTAGTAACATTCAGTTTAGTCTTTCTACCTTGATGTGTATATCTTTTTTTTTTTTTTGTCTCATCTGCACGTAGAAAGAAGACAGTTACTACTTTGCTCCGTATTACATCGAAAATAATAAGTTTAAAGTATCGAATGCGTATGGTAGTCTGAATAGATTAAACTATATATATTTCTAGTAAACTTGATACTTTACTAAACCTTATATATCAGATAGAGACACAGTGGAGAAATAAAACAAATACTTGTACAATAGTTGTATTTGTAGTATTATGTGCTCAACTGGGAAGATGTTTTAAATAAAACTGAATTTCTTTCTCAATTTGTAGCCTGTGGGAATTTAATATTTGAGTCCAACAAAAAAGTTTACAGTTAAGTACAGTAGATAAATAAAAATGGAAACACTGGTGAGACATACTGAAGAGAATAATTCGTTTCGTATAAGCATAAAAGCTTAATTAAGTCTACAGGAAAGGTATCATAGAACTTATTGATGCAAGTGTTGCAATGTTCCTTCAAATACCATATAGTATGCCACACAATTCTACATAATCATATAGGTCCAAATTTTGATAATCTTGTTCAGGTCTAGGCTCTGGATAGGCCAATGCAGAAGTTCTAGTGTTCCAACTACCTGTTTATTCTCATGGTAGGTTTTTACCATGTTAATCAAACCCCTAGCCAACTATGCACATTCTTAATGGAATGCCATAGTGTATTTAGAATCTGTTTATATTTCTCTACTATCAGTGTGTTATCAATTTTTACTAAGTCTTTAGCGCTATACTGGAGGAAATGATAGATTCTCCCAGATGTTTATTTTTAATTGTTGTACTTTAGTAGTAGAATTGTACCCTTTTCCTTCTTTAAACATGCTGTCATTAATTATTTATGAACAACTCAAACTTGTGTCAATAATCTTAATTAAATCATTATATTAAATATATCTTTATTCTACAAAATATGGCCATTGACGCAAAATCTTTCTTACCCCCTCTTTAGGTAAACACGATGTAGAGTTAAGACTGACACTGTTTATAAAAAGTCTTTTAATAAAACAAAAATATTTAAAGACGTATTTTATTTATCTCTAATATATATGCACATATCAGCGATTTTCCTTGAATATGTTATCAAAGCACAATTAATTAAAATAAAAAAGTAAGATTATGGTGAAAATAAACCGTTTACTTTTGAGATTATTAAATGTAAAGTTTGTTATCAACACAGTGAATGCAAGTAAGGAAGTCGACGTCAAAGGCAGTCTTATAATAACCAGTGACATACTGATGATAAAGATACTTTTAGTGAAAGCTAAAGAGGTGATTCAATCTAGGTGAAATTAAAATAAGTATTAGAAACCGAAGTTACATACAAAATATAAGATTAGGTTATTTTATAAACAAAATAGCTTTCCATCGTAATATTTTCGAAATGTCAAAAATAATATAATGCCAGTTTCTTTGTCATATGACCTTCATCTGGACAATATTTCAATATAACGTAGCTGGTATTATCAGTATACAACTAAAAACGTAAGTTATCATTCACTATTAACGTAAGAACAACTGCCATGTTCTACTCATAAAAAAAAGGCTTTGTTGCCTAAAGTAGCCTGATTCATTTCTTACTTAGTTAGAAGTAACTAGATTCTTACCAAACCAGTGATTATAGTGTTAAAGATAAAACTCTTGCAGACCCATATATTGGTCAGCGACACGAGAGACAAATTATTATTTTCTTATTGAATCATTGGTGTCGCTGATTGAAAATTGATGATGTTTTGATAAAATAATGAAAGTAATTATTTAGCTGTTACCTTAAGAAGAGGAAATTTGCATCAAAAAGTATTAAATATTAATACATATACGTGTTGATTGCTTATATTCATTACACTATGAACGACCAGGAACTGTGTTAGGCGGCAATAACTGTGCTCCTGGTTGCAGTGCATCATAACATATTTGACAAAAGTCTGAGATATGATACTGGCTGAAATATTTTTAGAAATACTTATGAAGGTAATTAAATCAAAAACCTTAACAGTTCTGTAAAAGAGCTACTTTACTATTGAACCTAAGCAAAAATAAACCACCTACAAACAAACCCAAAACGAAGTTGTAACGACAAAAATGTATCGTTTGTCACATCATTCAAGAATATTTGTCAAATTGTTTACTTTGCGCAACGATAAAAATACATAAGTTATATTATATGCATTTATCCCTTTTTAATACCAGCAGCTTCCTGTACTTTCACTTTTGCACATGAAATTTGTGTTCTATTTATATTATGACTTACATTATATCCTAATTACACGAAGAGGTTTAATTAAATCAGTTGTTATTCCCAATTTACTACGACCTTTCCAAATTCAAATTAATTGAGATTTTTTGAAAATAATTCCTTCCTTGACCTTTTTCTTCTTCCTCTTCAAATAATCTTCATGTTCGAGTTTCACTGGTATATCTGGAAAAAACAAATCGTATTAGCAAAATAACTGATTTAAAGCTAAAAAAACCTTTAGGATTCTAGCATAAAATGGAAGTTTTGGAATAACTGGGTAAAACAAAACGATAATGTATTCTTGCGTAACGTTTTCACCTACGAATAAAATTCAGGTACTATAGAAATGTTTCCATTAACACAGAGTTAATCAGTATTAAATGTATCTTATTCAATGGGAATATTGCTTTTATATGTTTCAGCTTCTGCTTAACAAAGTGAAAATCTTTATGATTAACTTTTAGAAAATTGTAAAAACCATAATATGGAGCTTTATACCACTCCGATCACCTTTTCCCATTGTGTTTATCATATAATAGCAAATGAGTTATCCATTTATGCGAAAGACTAACAAAGGTAAAATAACTATCACACACAACAACGTTAACGAGTTAACGTTAATAACTGTGAATACATATTAGGATTATCTAGAAGCTTATATATGAGATAAACATCTCATTGAAAGCACAACACTGAGTATTTCTTTCGAATAAGTAAAAATCAAAAATTTGTGAACTAATATCTGATTCTGAAGTGTCATTATTCATTAATGGATTGGATTCTTTACATTAGGTGCCTGTGACATGTTGACGATAAATTTCAACAATAAACAAATATACAGTCCACTTGTTTTAAAATAATATATTGAAACAAGTCAAACGTACACAGCGTGGTCACAAGTAAATAGACACCACCTTTTCAGAAAAAAATGTTTTTTTTCAGTCATATTCACATGAATTGATATATTTATAATTTAATTAATATCTAGTAGATCTTCCTTTTGCTTCGTGGAGTTCGTTGATCCTTTGGGGTATCGTGAGAATCATCTCGTCAATTTTAGATTGTGGGATTTTCGCCCACTCTTGCTTCAAAACTTGGAGTAGATCGCTCTTCGAAGTTGTTTTTTTTCTGTTGATTCTTGACTTGCCGGTCGAGTAGGGCCCAGAGGTTTTCGATGGGGTTCATGTCAGGAGATTGGCTCGGCCAGGGAAACTTCTGGCTACCATTTTCTTCCTGCCACTTTTGGTTGTTTCTAGCAGTGTGACACGGTGCTCCATCTTCCTGGAACAACGTTGTGTTCTTGTCCACGAAACCCGAGGAATAAAGTGGCAAGAGTCCTTCCTCCAATATTTCGACGTATTTTGCAAAATTTATGTTGCCAACGCACCCCACTAAGCTCGATCTCCCACCAACCCAAACAGCTCCCCAAACCATCACGCTGAAACCATCATGCTTCACAGTTGGCTGCAATATGTTGAGCCAAAACTCTTGGTGAGGCATTCTCCAGACCAATATCCTTCCACTGTCCGAAAATTGAGCGAACCTTGATTCGTCTGAGAACAATACGGTCTTCTAAAGGTCCAGAGGCTTGGTCATCATATCACTTGCCCACTTCTTTCGCCTGACTATGTTGGCAGGTCTTAATAAGGGCTTCCGTCTAGCTGCTCTGCAGCGATAACCCAATCTGTGGAGAATCCGTTGAAGAGATTTCGAGCTCATCCCACCAAATTTGGCCACTTCTGCAGTCGTTAATCTGGGATCCATTTCAATGCTCCTCTTGACAGCCCTGTCGAAAGCGGGATTCCCAAATTCTGCGAAATTGGCCGCTGAGTTATTCCACCATCTGCTTGACCAACTATCCTTCCTCTAACAATTCGAGATAACCTTGAGTTCTAGGCATGT